ACACTTGTCAACAATATTGAACAATATTGTTGAGCCTGAATCGGGTGTAACAATATTGTTCAATATTGTTGACAACTGTGAACAATGTGGGCAACAAAGCATTGTTCAATCCTGTTTTCATCAGTATTGCAACAACCTGATCGTTTTTTTGCCGTGTAGAACACTATATGTTTATGCACATGCAGATTTAGCACAAACATACTCCGTTGCAACCTCGTACCCAGGGCTAGTCGCGAATTGAAGGCGGCGACATAGCCCTGGTAAACGCTGGTCACGTGACTCCAACATTACGTAATTGTTACTTTTCTCAACCGGGGGGTGAATAGGTGAAACTCGAAGACAAACAGTTTTTATCTCCGAAATTCTTCAATCTTCCTTGTGAATTTTGCACTTCAAGCTTTTCTCAAAGTACGGCGATCGATCAAATGGATCAATACTTTCTGTAGAAAAAACTCAGTGAGATTTGTTCGTATGAGACGTTTAAAAGACATGGATATGTCGCCAAAGACGCTCGATCATTTATAATATTTGCACAGGTTTATGGAAATGGAATAGTACTTTGTTCAGTTTGTTGCGACTTGCGAAGCAAATGAATACAAATTCAACTCTTGTATAATGACTAAAAGTTGGTTTGTAGAGGGACAACTTATACAAAAGATATGAATACATTAGCTTCAAACTAGGGACAAGTTCATGGACAATGGACATCCCTAATATATGGACATTGATATTTCACCAATATGTAAATATGACTATTAAATATATAAAAGGATTGCTGTTGTATTACTTGTATATGTATATGTACAAGTGTTGTGCTGTGGTATTTACGTTTTTAACCCTTTAAGTGGCAATGGGCCATCCATTTGATATACACCCACCCCCCCCTATGGACTAGAATTTCTGAGGGGATTGAAAAAGCCATTTCTGAGGGGTTGTGTGCATCAGCATCCTTTGATCTTTGCATTTTTTCTGAGGGATAAGGCAAAAATTTCTTAATTTCTGGGGGGGTGTTGGTGTCGGCACTTTGATCTTTTTTTCTTAGGGGTTCAAATTTTATTGAACTCGTCCATAGGGGGTGTATACATTAATTAATGGAATGGCCCAATGCACCCAGATGCACCCTACTTTGTTAGTTTACTCTGTCTAACGCCAGACAATTTTACTCGTCAGGTGGAGGGTGCATGGCGCCACTCAATGGGTTAACATAGTCGATGAACATGCCAAATGATCCTTGACCGTAGGTAGTACATTTTTGCACTTGCTGGATGATATCGCAACCAAGCATTGTTTCAGAGGAAGAGCACTGAGATAATGCTATGTAGCAATTGGAATCTCGCACAGAGTCTGCTCTCACATAAAGCAGGCAAGACCTTCACTCAGAAGCCAGTCCTGATTAATATTAATTCCCCACATAAACACTTGAAAACCAGACTGTCCCATCTGCCACATGCAGGACAAAAAAACATGCAGCCTGGACTTTAACTGTTAAACAACCAAATCAGCATGATAAACAGTGTGATGATTTTTGCTTAACCCAAACCAAAGCCAGTTTTCTAGAATTAATTTGCAGAATCCTAAGAATTGGACCTCCAACTTGAAGAGCTAGCTGTGCTAACCAAGTTGGGCAACCCTGAATTGACGTGACTAGAGCAAACCTTCAAAAATAATAGAGAGATCAGATTTGACTTCCTCTACTGCTATTGCTATCATTAACTATTAACCAGATAAGTTTCATTTATCCAATCAAACAATCGGATGCAACTGCCAGATCAAGTAGTGGTAGTGGAAGTCAAATTTGAACCTTTCTATATGGATTTCAGAGAGACCAGTCATTATTTGCTGATATATTATTATAACTTGTTTAATCAAAAGCTACTATATATTCATTTATGATATTAAAAATTGATATAATTTTATCTATAAAGTGAGAATAATTTCAAAAAAATATTCATAACATAAAATGATTCATGCATGCATGCTGGTGATTGAATAAACCATGAAGTCTGCATTCTGAATCTCTACAAGTTCCTTGACATTATTTTTCCAGTACAGTGCAAAACTATATATATAAATGTGACACAGGTTGCAGGTATTTGGTTGCATGTCCACCAGTGTGCTGAAATACCATCCAATGACCCGGTCTTGTTCATTGTTACTTGCATCTTGCTTAATTCAACTGTTTTTGCCCCATTTCTTGTACCCATAAAGTTCTTTTCAATAATCTAGAAAACTTTAAAATCATTCAGTAAATTTAATTTTAAAATTAGGTGAAAGGTAAGGGGTCAATAACAGATGAAGAAATCATTTCTTATTGTTCATACATATGGCCCCATCTCTGTCAGATATTAGAGTAGAAATTTATTGAAGCCTGAAGTCAGAAAATAAATATGGTAACAAGGTTACATGCCATACTGCAGAGTTAGGCATTTTTTTTAAAGATCTCAAGGGCGCTAAAGGTATAAATATAGATTGTAGGGGCAAGGGAACAAAATGATGAAATTTTGAGATTTGGGGGCAGGTTTTACAATGGGATGCTAAAACTTTTCCCTAAAAAATCCCTGATCAGCTGGAGTGCTGAAACTGATGTTTGACTATTGAAATATCCTAGCAGGTTAGGTTCATCAGATTTTAGCTTTGTTAACCTGGTCACTCTGTTATTACAGTAATGGCTCATTTAAATAATTTCAGGTCATTACTGTAAATGTAAATACAAAGTATTTGAAGTTAATACTGCTGTAAAATGTAGTTTAATAATACTGTATTAAAGTGTAAACACGTTTCTCACAATGATAAATCAATATTGTAAATAATAATCATGTGAGAGTATAACTTTACTGAGAGTCCGAGTATAGTATTATAGGCCATAGTCTGGCCATGTGTTTCTCAATATTCACAATACATAATAAACTACAATTGTACAAATTCAGCTAACTATATTAACATACTGTATAAAATATATTACAGTAAATAGCCTTCGAAATATATATTTCATAGAGCTAGACAGTGTAACAAATAATGGGAATCTGCTAAATAATTTGTAACAATGAAATACTTCTAAACATTTTCAAATTCATATATACTGTACCTTTTTATACTTGATGGAAATCATCACAAATAGTATGTACGAGATTGGCTCCATTTTCACTGCTTCGAAATTCGAAACATCGCCTCCTCGGCGATTTACATAAAAGAAGATTGATGTACATTCGACGTAATATATAAACGTAACATATTAAGAAGAAAGATTACAACAAAAATAAAAGAATATAAATAATCCGCGGCAATTCAAGTTCCATTCGTGAACTTTTCGTCGCCCCCTGTCTTTATTTCCACAAAGCCCGCTCGCAGGCTAATACTCCAAGAATCTTGGAGTATTTGCCTGACACGTGACCAGCGTTTACCAGGGCTATGTCGCCGCCTTCAATTCGCGACTAGCCCTGGGTACGAGGTTGCGAGTTCGACTGACGAAATGAACAGCAAAGCGAACAAGACGCCACGCTACTAATCAGATATCCAAACTACTGATCAGAAAAAGCTTAGATTGAAAGGTTTTACTGTCAAATTGAATTCGTCCATGAAACATTTAGAATACGGAGACAAATCTAGTTCAGTTTTAGCCGCTGAACCGATATTGTGTTTAAAGTGCCCCTGACACAAAAAATGTTTTTCAGTCTATTGAAAGTAATCATTTAGTATAGTGTTCTCGCGAAAGAAGTTTTCGATTTCATCAAAACGAAAAATTTTTAGAGCCGTTTGAACACGCAAAATTGGAGCTTTTTGTTGGCAGGCGTCCGTGTTCGAAGGAAACTGGAACGAGCGATTTTTGTTACGTCACGCAAGTGAGTCGGCGCATATTCTATTTCTCGACTAGTACTATATTCTTCGCGCATATATAAATATATATATATATATATATATATATATATATATATATATATATATATATATATATATATATATATATATATATATATATATATATATATATATATATATATATATATATATATATATATATATATATGTATATACCGGGTGGCGCAAAAAAAAGTTAACCTGTTTGATTTATTTTAACTTAAAAACTAAAAGAGCTATTACAACTAAACTACGTGCATTGCATTCAGTATTGTCTAACTTAAATTTTGATATACGCCCTGTGCAATTTCGTACAATATTCACCGAGAGAGCTGCGTTTAAACTTGAATAAACATTTTGGGAAGTGTCGAGAATTAGCTAAAAACGGCCTGTTAAACTAATTTGGTAACCTTTACCATTTTATCGTAAATATTCGTTTCAATGAAGTGAAGTTTAAATTAAAAATGTTTATTGGATGGATGTGCTCTTTTATTTTTGTTTAAGGTCTTTGGGAATGCATGAAAATTAATTATGAAGCGATTTTGATTAAGTGATTTATTCTAAATATTCAATGACCCTGGGGAATCAAATTCTAATGTTCCAAGAAAGAAACGTCAAGTGTTTTTTTATAAATACGCCTCGTTTAACGAATGACCAAAGAGTTTTGATATGTTTAGAATATGTAAGGGTAAATAATGCTCGTGAGGTTATACTGGCGGCGTTGGGCAGGTCTCTGACAACGAACGTGTACTTTCTGACTATAGTGCGTCTAAGCACAGGTTATTGCTGTATTAAATATTTGATAGGCCATTTTTGGCTAATTCTCGACACTTTCAAAAATGGTTACTCAAGTTTAAACGCAGCTCTCTCGGTCAATATTGCACGAAAATGCACAGGGCGTATATCAAAATTTAAGTTAGACAATACTGAATGCAATGCACGTAGTTCACGTGTAATAGCTCTTTTAGCTTTTAAGTTAAAACAAATCAAACAGGTTAGCTTTTTTTATATATATATATATATATATATATATATATATATATATATATATATATATATATATATATATATATATATATATATATATATATATAAAGACATAAAACAACAAATTTCAATCTTAAAATTTTATTTCATCGCTACACAGTGTTTCACGTACAGCGTACGATCATCAGGCGATCAGGCGATAATCGAATCGCCTGATCGCCTGATGATCGTACGCTGTACGTGAAACACTGTGTAGCGATGAAATAAAATTTTAAGATTGAAATTTGTTGTTTATGTCTTTTTATTTGCTCTACTGATTTATTGGTGTTGAGCACTCTAGTTCACTACGCACAAATTCAATATTGAATATATATATATATATATATATATATATATATATATATATATATATATATATATATATATATATATATATATATATATATGTGATCGAAAAAGATATGCCTTTTTACTGTGTTGCAGCTAACTGTATCAATAAAGCATGTTTAAAAGATGAAATAAGTCTACACAATATTCCATACTTCAATGACAAACGCGCGGAAGCTAAAAGACAAAGAAAAGTATGCCGGTTGATTTTGTATGCGCAAAGCGTTTGTTTGGGCCGTCAAAGACTTCGACTATATGCTCGGATCACTGTAGAATAGAGGATTACGAGGGGCTTTTTTTTCGTTGCCAGAGCTCGGCAAGCCTAACTATCCGAAGCTATTAAAGACTGATGACGATTTGCTTTGTTTTGCGGATGATTCAATTTGTATTTCGACTGTACGGGCCAGCTAAAAATATAAATACTTTGTAATAGGCTATACCAAAATAAAAGATGCAAATCTGAAGACACAAGCTTAAAAATAACACTCTAAATAGTGTTTTGGATTCCGGTTCGAATAAGACTATTACGAAAAAGATATGTCCAAAAAGGGGCCGAAGTTATGCTCGGCTAAAGAGGTAGCTTACATGGCTAGCTTACATTATTCGAGACTAATTGTGTAATATAATGAATTATGACACCTCTTAAACTCTCAAAGGTGACAAATAGCTATTTGATTACAATTTGACTAAACCTATATTTGACTAAAACTATCGTTAGAAATCAGGAGATTTTGTTTCACTGAATCGAATGGTAATAATTTTGTCTTCATAGCATGCACCGAACCGGAGATATGAACCCTGCAAAGTCATAGAACATGCGCCAAATCTTAGAGTAAGACACGCGCACCGACGCACGCGACTAAAAAACATTCGCTGAATATAAATGGGAGACTAGTTTTACTTTGTTTTTCTTGTGTCCCTAGCTTTTTTTACCACAACAGTTTTTACCCGTGGGCCGTGAACTGAAACTGTGATAATAGCAGCAGTTTTGGTCACGTCCGCGTCATAGATTCGGTAGGGATCTTACGAGATGCTACAGATCAGCATCGTCCAGTTAGTCTAGGACCTGCCGTATATGAGTTTGTATGCATTTCATTTAGGACAGATAATCTCAACTGTTTTAGGGCAAGTTGACCATGACGGTTATGTGGTGTTTTGTCTTTAGCTTTTTATTGCTTACTTAAGTCGTTGCTTACAAACTGAACCAGGTCCCGTCCCTCGTGGTCATCCGGGTTCTATTATCTTACACACGTGATTAAACTATTATATAAACACTACAGCCCTCCCAACTTTAAAAGAAAAGACCTATAAACATTAAACGTTCAGAACTAAAATTATGCAGTTCCATAAACTAACGTTACTTCGTGTCCGACCTTAGAGTCACTTAAGTGGGAAAAACATATGTAAGAATAATGTCAACAAAACTAAATAAAGTCTTATATAAAAACTTAAATTAGCGTTCTCCGCATCATCAATGAAATTGTTCTCCATCTCTGGTAGGACGCTTTCTCACTCTTCTGGGATAGCGAGATTCAGGGGCTTCGACTGCCGCTGCATCGGGTTCATACTCTTGTTGACCGGCGTCTTCTCCGTCACTCGCTTCTTCATCATCGCCATTTCTTAAAACACGAAGAATTTCTGGTGATCGTTGCGTTGTTATTTCTTGCTGTCACCATGGATCCTTTCTTCTGTGTACAACGACATATGAATCAGGTCGGTAGGGTGTATCTCTCTTTCTCTTCGAATCGTCACGCTTGACGAACACTGTATCGCCTTCCTGGATTGTTGAGGGTTGAACATATGTTTTGGAATCAGCATATCTCTTCATCCTCGACTTCGCCTTGCGATCATTTCCCTCAACTGCTGGGTCTTACAAAGTCTTTTTCAACTCAGGTAACTTTGTGTTTAGTGCCCGACCAAACAATGCGGTTGCTGGGGGAATTTTTGTCGTTGTGTGAGGAGTTGCTCTGAAGTTTCTGAAGAAACGATGCATCTCTTGTTTCTAGTTCTTGTGTTCTACTGTCGCCGTCTTGACCACCTTCTTTATCGTTCTCACGAATCGCTCGACCTCGCCATTTGCTCTTGACCATCGAGGAATGATCTTTCGATGCTTGAAACCAAGAGTCTGCGCAAACGACTGAAATTTACGGCTGTTAAAAGGTGGTTCGTTCTTCACTACGTCAGGTATTCCAAATTCAGAGAACACTTTGTCTACCCTCGGAATCACCGTGTTGGCAGAAGTAGACTTGACCGTTTCGACGACCGGATATCTTGAATAGTCATCTGTAATTATCAGGAGATACTCGCTGTTTGGAAGCTCCGCGTTTTTTTGTGATATTGTTAATAATTGGCAATATAATGCCTACAGCCAGAGTTTTGACTGTATAAAATATTACACAATGATTGTTTTTATACTGTATAACTGTATTTTATTATTATAAAGCTTTATTTGCATGACCTAATTACAGGTATTGCTAAGCGTAGATTATATATATATATAAAATGTCAGTAATGTCTAAGCTATAACTATAAAAATATATAGGAAGAAGCTATTTACAAATAGAAAAGCAGTATATAATTTAAAGATATAATGTTGGGGTTTTTTTGTTTATTTTGTTTTATTATTTATCTAAGCAATTTTTAGTCTAATTGTTGTCCCTAATCTTCCATGGATTTGAGGCTTTTATCTCTCTCCGAAAAACAGTGAAAGATATACTTAGAAAGCAGGTTAACAAGAACTGGATCGTCTGAAGACATCGCATGCTCAAACAGTTTTTGTTTTCCTTCCATTGTGTTATTAAGATAAAATAGATTTTTGAGAATGTTGTTAGAATTATTTCTTAATTCTTCGTATTTCGGGCAAGATAAGGCTAAGTGATATTCGTTTTCCACTTCACCGTTGTTGCAAAGTTTGCAGAAACGTTGTTCGCGAGAAACGTTTTCGTATCTTCCTCGCTCAATTTGCAATTTATGATTACTTGCTCTATATTGAGAAAATGTTCTTCTTATCGTTGGGTTATCAATAAGGGATAAATATTCTTCCATTTTGTACTGGTTTTTAAATGTACAAAAGAAAGATAGTTTGGAGGAGTTAATCATTTTATGTTGCCAAAATTCAAAATATTTATCTTTCATCTTATTTACAATAGTTTTTGTATCGTAGTTGATTATATCACTTTCCAAGTTTGTTGTATTATCATAGAGTGATTTAAGCATGTTTATTGCGTTGGTGTAGAAAGATTCTTTGCCTTTTTCAAATAGTTGTTTAGATATTAGGAAGGATTGTTTAACTATTGAGTTGTCGTCTAGTTTAAAAATATGTTTAAAATAGTTTAGTATATTCTTTTTTATTGTAATCAGCAGTGGGTATTTCCCAAGTTCACTTCTGCAAGCCACATTACTGGCTCTTCTGTTAACACCTAGGTACAGCTTGCAGAATCTTAAATGAATTTTTTCAGTCTCTGAATTATCCCATTTATTCAGATCATTTTTTTCGTATGCTCCCCAGACTTCTGAGTTATATAGTAGAATTGGGGAAATTATTGAGTCGAAAATTTTTGTTGCTGTTTTTGGTGAAAGTTTATGAAAATCTAGATTTTTACGAATTTTATAAAGAGCATGCAAGGCTTTTTCGCTTAGTTGTTGTTGTGCGAGTTTAAATTTCCCATTTGGTACTAGTTTGAGACCAAGATAGGTATACTCTTTGACTATATCTATCTTTTTATCTCCAATGTGGAAATGAAGGTTTGGTAATTTCGAGTTGTGTTTTTGAAGAATCATAATTTTTGTTTTCTTGATATTGACTTCCATTAGCCATTTACTACACCATTCATTTATTTGGTTTAGACAGTTTTGTAAACCTGATTTTGACCGTGAAAGTATAATGAGATCATCCGCATAGAGTAGGCTGTTGATAGTAGTTCCATTTGGTAATAGAAATGGATCTGATTGTGTTTGTTGAAACATTTTTGGAAGATCGTTTATGTAAATATTAAATAATAAAGGGCTTAGAATGCATCCTTGACGGACTCCCTTTTTGTAAGGAAAAAACGGTGTTCTGTTTTCAGATAGTTTTATTGCACATTTCGTGTTTGAGTAGAGGTCTTGAATTAAATCATAGAAGTGTCCCCCTATGTTGTTTTTGATAAGTTGGTAAAATAAGCCTTGTTGCCAAACAGAATCAAAAGCTTTTCTAAAGTCAACAAAACATGCATAGATTTTTTCTTTTTCACTCTGTTTGACATATTTATCATGCAGAGTTTTCAGCGTAAGAATATGGTCAGCCGTTCTATTTCCAGGCATGAATCCAATTTGAGTTGGGTGAATTAATTGCTTTTCGTTTGCGA